GATCTGTAGATTACTGGGGTCGTCGTACTGCTCTTCTCTATTGTCTAAGGTAAAACCAAGGCCATCCTAATTATAAAATGCAGCTTGCCAAACGCAATAGAGCAGTGCAATATTAACTGACCGCTGACCTCCCCTAAAACCCACAAATACCCAGGAGGACTCACTGCCCGGTTATTGCTACCTAAGTAATTTTAAAAGTATTTTCTGTGCCCATCACACTTCTTACAGAGCCTTTCTTCCATTAAAAAAAAAATTTAAAAATGCTGTTCTTAGCACTCATATCAATTAATTATAATTATAAATAAGAAAATGAAGGTTTTTCTCGGGGAGGGGAAGCGCAAGTAAGTAAGCCTGGAGACTACATTTTATTTTCATGTCATGAGGATCTAACACTGAAATATTCTCATTTCTATCTAAAATCTGTTTTTAAAATGGCTTTATGGCTCTTTTCATTCCAGACTACATGTTAAATATGGGTTTCCATCTTTCAAATCATGTGGTTAGTTTTTGAAATTTGAAATTAACCTGAAGCTAATTAAAAACAAATTGAACAATAATATTAATTAACAGAAGTTATAACATTTGTTATTTCTCTGCAAGGAGATTAAGTATGAAATAATATCAGTTGTCTAAAATTAAACGCTGTTCATAGTCTTTGTAAAAACAGATGATGCCTACTGTGTAGAGTCCTTTCTGTTACAGAGGGTTTGATGTTCTAATTTGACATTCTTCAAGAAGCAGTTGAGTCACTTATAAAAGTGAATAAACATTGCACTTTAGCCTTTTATTTGAAGAGTATCCTGCCAGCAGATCTCTGTATGCCTCGCTCCCCTGATGTTCATGGTGTCTACAGTGCTAAAGATATTTAAATATGGTTTTAGCATTAAAATGCTTTCACCATTAATTTTTACCTTACCAAAAAAAAAAAATGTCCTTCATTTCTAGAGTTATGTCTTAGATTTAAAGGAAGCTAACATCCCACAAAGTGAGTTCAAAGTTATCCTGGGGACACTGGAACTTAAAACACATCACAAAGATTTATTCTTCTCCGCCCTAAAAGCCACTATTGACTACGGTAATCAGTAAAATACTCAGGACTTCAAGGACACTGAAGTTAAACAAGGCATTTGTCTTTGCTGTTGACTTTAAAATGTTACCTATCAGAGAGCCCCTCTTCTAGAGTGGGGCATTCCCTGGAAAACCTGGCCCTATGTCTGGCCTCCTTCAAAGGGCTAGGAACAATAAAAAAAGGCTCCCTGGAGACTGTGTGGACACCCTCGGTATAACATAGTCCTGGGGAGCCCCAGAAATAAAATTTCAAGTTCTAGAAAGCTTTTTTGAACTAAATAAAATTCTCTAGTGCCTTTTCTGCCTCTCTGCAAGGGCAAGACAGCAATAATTCTAGAACAACAAAAGAAAATACACTGCAATTATAAAATCTGATTTGCTGGAGTTGTGGCACCTCTATCCTAAGTGGTTTCTTGGGGGAGCTCCTGGGAAGTGACAGACTCCAATCAGGTGTGATTTCTGGAACCAAGGAATAGAGCCCTGCTCAGTGGGAGCTTAGAGAGGCCAAGGGATGGGCCTGTGAGGACCTCAGCTCCTCTTCAAATCAGTCCACCAGACAGGGAAGGGGGAGGAAGTAGAATCAAGAGCTTTTCACTGTGCATATTTAGAAAGCACAGCACTCAAGTTTTAGCCTTGGTGTTTGCTCCAAATGTGGATGGTGATGATGATGATGATGATGATGATGATGATGATGATAAATGATGATAATTGCAAAGACAGGAAGATGGCTGTAAATTCAAGGCTATCCAAGGACTACACTGGGAGATCCTGGCAGAGAAGGGGGAGGGCTATCTAGGTGAAGAAACAGCAGTGCCTGCCTGTTCAAACTTGGAGCCACCCTCCTACCCAATTCTGCTTTAGTTGCTGCTTCTTTTCTTAGCAGACTACAAAACCTGTATGGCCCCAAATCTCTGTCAAAACCAAGTCTGGTCCAGGATGGCTGGAGACTCGGGGGGGGGGGTGATTGAGGAAAATATGGGCTAAGTTCAAATGGTGCCTGTAACTGCATTTCCCAAGGGAACCCACTGCTGTCAACATCTAAAGATGGGATTCTGCCTGTGCATAAGCTATCTGCGTCAAGTGGCATGGCTTCAGCGTACAGAATAGGAATTTAGAGAGACAGGCCGAGCAGTGGGGTGGACTGAAGCAGCAGGCATCCTGCCCCCACAAACTCTGGGATTTCCTACCTCCCTTCCAGACAAAAGCATCACACCCAAACCACAACACCCTTCTCATCCTTTGAGGAATTTTAGTCTCCCGGTCGCTATCCTTGGGAGCCAAATATAGCCTTTATGTGGTAGGAAGGATGACAGCCCCAGGCCACCAGGGCCCATCAACAAGGTCCTCCCTATGCCTCTCTTCTAGCAATAAAAGCTGCAGAAGTAAGCCGAGAACAACAGCGAGGCGCGGTTCAGATCAGGTTCTCCACTATATTTTCTGAACACGAGCTAAGCAATGCTCCCACTCAGTCTAACGGGCCAGGGGTTCTGAAAGGACTGTCCCCTAAACAGAAGTGGGGAGGGGCTCCCAGAATGATGCAAAAGATTCCTGAGAAGGACAGTTTGGACCAGCGTCCCCTCAATTCCTCCTAAGACTGACCAACTGCCCCCCAAAAAAGTTACATTTTTTTTCGTTATAGGAGAAGTTGCCAAATGGGCAAAACCCCAGGAGGGGGAGGAGGGGGAACCTACGGATGAACTCGGGGTCTTAAAACAGGATGGCTGGGGGAAGAAACCAAGTCTGGCTCTTAGCTAACAGCGGGGCCACTTTCGAAAATAAGGTCTTTCCAAGGTAGCTGGGAGTTTGTTTTCTCACTTTACACTTAAATAGTCCCCTGCACAGAAGAGTGTCCTGTAACTTGGACTAAACTTTGAAGGTCACCACCCTGCCCCCCAGATGGGAGCTGCATCACCAAACCCCAAGCAACAGATGCCAAGACTGAAAGACTGCCTGGTGGATAGGTCCACCAGCTATCCTTAAGTATAAAGTCGG